GGATGCTGGTGGCGTGCTTGGCTACCTGGGCACACACTGGCTCATGTTCAGCTGTCTCTCAACCAACCCCCCCCATGTCCTTTTCCACCAGGCACTTTCCAGCCACTCTTCCCCCAGCCTGGAGTGCTTCAGGGGGTGGTAGTGACCCAAGTTCAGGATCCAGCACTTGGCCTTGTTGACCATCATCATGTTGGCCTCAGCCCATCGACCCAGCCTGGCCAGCTCCCTCTGAAGAGCCTCCTACCCTAAGCAGATCAACACTCCCACTTAAATTTGGTGTCATCTGCAAACTTGCTGAGGGTGCCCTCAATCCCCTCTAATAACTTGGATAGTCAAAGAATTTTACTTAAATTTAAAGGCTATGCTCCTTCAGCCCTCAACTTTAGCTAAGGCAAAGAGTAATAATTTTACTACTATAGTTGCTCCTGCTTGTAGAACCACTTGTCATTGTTATTAGTGTACTTTGTGACTGTTTCCATGCTCAGCAAATACAGCTGAGCCTCAGGGAAAGTGACACTGCCTTGATGGAGAAGAGGCATTGTGATCTGGCTCAGTGGAATTCTGTAAATGCAAATTGTGTGGTAATTAAATCATACGACAAAGAGGAGTCTTTTTTTCCAACAAGAATTACAGCACTGACTTCTGTAGCTTTCTTACAAGACTTCAGAGGGCCTTATGTTCTGTGTTGACATGTGTAATTTGCATTTCATTGTCTTTGCACTGCTTCATTACCTGGTCTGTAATTGCTGTGTCAGGATTTGGCTTGGGGAGATAAAGAATGTTGTCCTAGTGTTGTCCAGGTTTGAGTAAGGACAGCTGCTCACAGCTGCCTGACACTTCCACAGAATGAAGATTAATGTCTTGGACTGGATATTAATGTTGTATCCTCCAAGGAGAAATAATTAAAGAAGGCCTAAAAACTCTACCGTAATTGAAAAATGTAATAAATATTTCCAATAGTGTCCCACTGATGGGAATAAAGTTGTATCTCAGGGATGTGTGGGTTTGGTTAAAACCAAAGGGGTTTTCTGCTGAAGGTTTTTATTATGCTGGTATTTTTGCTATGCCATTGTTGTTTCAAAAATAGTTAAACCAGAGTTTGAAGGTGCTGTGCTTGGCAGTCAGCTGTGTAATACGTGAGGTGTGAGAGCGACCTCTGCAAAGCCTTGTTGCATATTTTAGTCACAGAATCTCTGATACCAAGGTGGCTTTGTGGGGAGTTGAGGCTTAAGGCCTCCGTGCCAGAGAGGAGGTACTGCCTGGTGAAGTTCTTGCTTCTCAAAACTATCGTGTAGTGCTCAAGGCACAGTTTTTGTGCAGCACTGGGTAACGGTGCTTGTCACCACAGAAATCTGAAAGGCAAAACAAAGCCAAAGATCTTGATGTTTGGTGGTATCTGCAGCTTCCTGGAAACTGGAGTCCCTTTGCATGTTGCATTTTGCATAGCAGTTATTGGGGTGTGTTCAGATTTTCTTACTGAACTGTGCCAAACCTTTTTGGTTTTTAAGATCCGTGTTTTTCACATGTTAATTAAAGAATATAATGCCCTAGAATTTCTCATTTGTTTTATTTGTTTACTAGGTTCCAGTACCATGTTCAGTGGGCTAAAAGTGTTTTGCAAGAGCAAGGATTGGATGAAAGCTCAGTTACCAGAATTCTCGAAAATTACACTAAGCCACTTGAGCTGCCATTTTTGGAAAAGGATGGAGCTGAACAAACCAGTAACAGTTGCAACAGAACAGGCCCAAATACAGAAAATACAGAATTTTTCAGACAGCCTTCTACAGATACTGGAAATGTAGTAACTCAGAGTCCTGAGAAGCAGAATGAAGGCAACAAGAAAACCTGTTTGGAAGGAGACTCAGCATTTGATCCTGTGGCCACACATGGCTCTAAAGAACAAGAACAAGGTGACTTGAAAGAGAAAGCTGAAGAGTCTTGTCAGGAGCATGAAAAGAAAGAGAAAGCTGTGGTGGCTTGTCAGGAGCATGATTTCCTAGTGCACTGCGGCTGCAAGGCCAAGGGTAGTGCGGAGCAAAGACCTTGGGAGATGGTCAAGTCAAAAGAATGTGCTCCAGAATATGTGTTGGTAGAAGAGGAAGAGGAAGGTAGCTTATGTCCTGAAGATGACTCTGCTCACACACGAGAAAATGTAAGGATGAAGAGTATCCCAAGCTTTTAGAGAAATAACATTATCGGTGCTGTTTTCAAAATTCAGTGTTTTTTCCGGTTTAAAGTTTTAGTAATATAGCAATATTTTTTTTTTCTTGTAGCTTATCAAGAAGGAAAAACTGGTGTGCAGAAAAAATCCATTTAGGATTTTTGAGTATTTACAACTGAGCTTAGAAGAGGTATGTTTCAAGAGGTTTTAATCTGAAAAGTGAACCTTAATCTGTGTTGCAACATAATTTTATGGCTGTTCCTAAAGTACAGGGTTTTCCTGTGTTTCCCAAGTATTCAGGTTGTCTTAGTCATTAAAGTTGTTTTTAATAACCTATGATAATTACATGATATGGCTAAAAAGAGAGAGAGAGGCTCCAATCCCATTTGCTTTAGAGGAATGATTCCACTGACAAAGAGACCAGGGGTAGGACTTAAATACAGAAGTGCCAGGAATATAACATTGATATACATCCTACTCCAATTTTCCTTTCAGTTGCTTCTAAGTATATTCACATGTGTTAGTTTTAACACTGTGCCTTCAGAAGTCTACAGCACATATGCAGACTTTTTGTAGTGCTGTGTCTCTTGAAATGTAAAGGTCGTGAAGACAAATATCAAAGTAAACTTCCAGGCGACTTGTGTGTCTCGATGGCATAAAGGTGCTTGTATAAAATTAACCTGAGCCTTTGTTCTTGTGTGGAATATAAACTACAGGAAGAGTCCAGCTATCAGTTAAACTTATTCTCTTTATTTTTTCAGGCTTTTTTCTTGGTGTACGCTCTGGGATGTTTAAGTATTTATTATGATGAGGTATGAGTTTGGATTAATTTTGAGATCTCTGGGGACACCATTAGTTTGGATATAGTTTGGTCAGAATTTTTTACATACTGTGGCAGTATTTTATGCTGTTCATTCTGAAGGATGAAATACCAGAGTAATAAGGAAGTTTTTCTTAAAAGTACTGAAATTTCTGTTTATGAAATACTGGTGTGAAAGTTTTATGTTTACTGAGGCAAATGCAGTTAAACTCAGTTTTTCTGCAGAGAAAGATTTTTGTTGTAGCTTAGGCAGAAGATATGGGGAAAGCAAGTACGGGAGGAATAGTATGGTGGATGGTCTGTCTTTTCTGAAATAGGAAAATTCTTGGGAGTTTTAAGCATTAATCTTTAAGTATATCAAACTGCTGTTAGTGTAATGACAAAACAATTGAAACCTGTGCTTCTAGTAAAATTGATCAGCTTTTTTAAACAAGGGCACTATGGGGTTGATTGTGAAATGCTAAAAAAATTTTAAAAAAAAAAACAAAACCACAACACTAAATGGAGCAACAGATTTCTGTTTTATATTTAGGGATTCCACGTTTTATTGCCCAAAGTTTGTGTTCTTTGAAGCAGGCTGTGATATTTGGCTGTTACACTCTACTGCACCCAGTATTCAATATCGACTTAATATAGTCACATTAATGCCTTCGTGATTTTTTCTTTTTAGGAGCCCCTGACTATTCTGAAGCTATGGGAAGTTTTCAGTGAAGTGAAGCCTGATTTTAAAACCACCTACATGGCGTATCACTACTTCCGCAGTAAGGGCTGGGTCCCCAAAGTTGGGCTGAAGTATGGAACAGATCTCTGTGAGTAGCTTCCTTCCAAAAATGGACTCACTTGCAGCTGAATTCTTTTCAGGCAGTGCAAGACCCCAGTGCCAAAGGTGAATTAACAACGAGGAGCTGCACGACTGGAGCAGGCTTTGCTGCTTGCAGTTGGCAAAAGACCTTTTTAGCTAGACTAGAGGTTAGCAACAGTCAGGGTGAGTGGAGTGCAACATCACATATCCAGCAGCTGAGGAGATCGCTTGAAAGGCTTCTTGTTTTCCTTTGTGAGGTTAATAGTTAATACACGACTGCACTGAAGTTCCCTTCCTGGGTTTCTCTGTCCCCTTCTAAACACGTCTCCTGCAGTGTTAATGTGACAGTCAGCAAGTTTGCACCTAGATCCCCATTCACACCAAAGTCCATGCATCCCAATATTCATCCCACTTAATGGAAATTGGACTTTCACTGAACTTACTGCTAAGGTTGTTCCTCTATATAGTTTGGGTTGGTTTTTTTTTGAGGGGAAGGAGGGAGAAGGGACTTGCCTGTTTGTTAATGGTAAGATTTTAGTCTAACAGAAATAATTAGTAGCAACCCCAATCCCTCTGTAAGTAATTAAGGAACTACACAACTCCCATCAGCACAAAAAGTACAGTAGTGCCTCTTGTTACAGGAAAATGTGCATAAAGGGAGATATTTTTTAGTGTATGCAGGCAAACCAGCATAACGAAAATTAAAAGCGGTTTTAATACTGCTGATGCAATTTCATGATATGGGGGTCTGTGTATCTGAGCACGTGGAGGTTGTGCTGAGCCGCTCCTTTACAGCAGCGTGTAGGTTTGGCTGAACTCATCATCACTGTTCTTACCACCCTGGGCTGCAGGTGGGCTTCTGCTTTGTTCACCATTCATTCCTATTCTGGACAGAGTCTGTTGTTTAGCGTGTCACTGCCTTTGGATTTGTGCCAAACAAAGGAGCTGGATTAGTTTAAGGCTAGTAGGAGTTCTGCCTTACTCATCTCCTCTAGCTTGTCCTTCAGCTGTACCTTCTTAAATTTGATGTTACTGCAATTACTTAAAGGGCATAATTAGCAAATCACAGTTGTCTCTGGATGAAGTGTGGCCTGTCTGTTTCCTGAGAGGGTCTGTGCTGGCCAGCTGTACAAGAAAACCTGTGCTAGCTAAAGAAAAATCCCCTCTTGGGAGGATTGTAATTACATGCAATGTGATTGTATAAAGAAGGAACTTGTAGTGGGTTTGGTGGGTGGCATGTCAGAACTTGTGCCCTGTTCCTCTCCTAAAACTTGGGGAAATGTTTGCTTGGAAGAGAAATGTGGTGGCTTACTGTGATCTTTTACTTCTACCCCAGTGGCTTGACTTCTTTTGCAAATACATTGTTAAAAGCATGACTCTGTTGCAGAAAAATTCCATCCTACACCTTTTCCCACAGCAATTGCAAACTGTCCTGTGGCTCTTTTGCTTTATCTTTTAGCTGCCACCTTGCTGCTCCCACATGTTTATCTCATCCCTCTCTCTCCACTTGTTGGGACAACTGAATTTGGAGTAGACTTCAAAAGTGTTGAAGTTTTGTCTTGTATAATTAAAACTAAGAAAACATTTGAAAATATATATGGGCCCTGGTATCAAACTGGGATGGAAACTCTGCAGCTATCTAACCAAGGTTGTTTCTCTTTCATTTCAGTGCTGTATCGAAAAGGCCCCCCCTTCTATCATGCAAGGTTTGAGACTCGTGTTTCTGTCTGATTTCTTAGTTTCAAATTGGTGCATTTCTCTCACACAGATCTAGCTTCTTCACTGGTTAAGCACGTATTCTTCACTCAGAATTCTTTGCCAGATGCATTCGTACTGGGAGTGCAAAAGTCTTTTTAGCAGAGTTACCAAATAACACAATTTTATTGAATTCATCTAACAGCAGTAAGACATTAAAAACTAAAAGTTCCAATGAGCGTATATAGCACTCATACCATGAACATGCTCAGGAAAGTCATTTGATGTAATAATACTGACTTTTAAAAATACACAGGATGGATAATTCAGGTACTTCAGGAAAAAAAAGTTTTTAAGGGGTGATAATTGTCTTTATTTGTCAGCTAAGTTGAACTCTTGGATAATGAATTGGTGATAAATGTTAGATTGGCATTGAAAAGATAATGCTACGAAGAGCAGCAGAAGGGTGAGGAGGGAAAGTGCCAGTGAGCCACAACTTCATCTTTTCTCCTCTTCCTAGTAGAAAGAGACTTAAGTTTCACAGCTTGCTTTACTGCATGCTGGTGTGTTGTTTAACACTAGGTTTGAGACTCTAATTCTTCAGTTGCATGATCTTCCTAAAATGGTGGTTTTCTTTTTGTGAATTGCCTTGTCTGCCTTGTTTTCCAGTTACTCTGTCATTGCTGAATTAGTTGATGATAGTTTTGAAGGTTCTCTTCGCAGACCGCTCAGCTGGACAGCCTTGTCTGGGCTGAACAGAACAACTGCTAATGCTTCTAAGGTAGGTGTAAGATGATAGTTTTAAAATAGCTTTAAAGTGATAAATGCACAGTTTAGTTCCAAAGAGCAGAGGGTTGGAGTGAGGCTGGAAAGAGAGTCCTTCTGTTTGCAGTCTGCTGAAGAACATGCTGAGTTGCCCACAGGCAAACACGAGTTTCCTTTGTCAATATACAGATGAATTCTGGAAGAAGCTTATTAAAGTTCCGTCGCCTGTAGGAATGTTAGAAGTTGGGTGAGGAACAGAAGACCCAAGGGACACTTCTTTCCTGCTTTCCACTTCTGTTTTTAAAGCCCTCTCCATCAGCCAGGGTTTTCTTTTGAACAGGGGGAGTCTCCAAAAGCTTTTCTCTGCGATAGAGCCTCAGATGTGCTTCCATACTGCTCAGCTGTGGGGTTATAACTCCAGTTTATCTTCCAGCAGTATTGTGCTTTGATATGGGAGATGAGAGCCATGTATTATACAACTCTCCCCAGAGACAGAAGACATCTTGCAGAAAGGTGTCTTTTGGTCTGCAGAAGACATCTTGGAGAAAAATTGGTATCTGCATCTTTAGTATGAAACTTGTATAAGAAGAAATCAGTTGAAATTAATTTATTCTTGTTTTCTGTTCCCCAACAGGAACTTATGTTGTGCTATTTGATTAGGCCGTCTGACATGACTGAGGAGGAGATGTCAACGCCAGAATGTATGAAAAGAATTAAGGTTCAGGTGAGGAATTGCTTCTTTGCTTTGCCCCTGGAGCTTTGTCCTGGGGCAGCTGGACAGCTGACCTCAGAGCCCCTTCGAGCCCTTGCAGGTTCTTCAGAGACTTAAGATCTCTCTTTTTCCCCCATAATAATTGCTGGTTTTTATTTCAGGAACTGATTGTAACTCGTTGGGTTTCTTCCCGTGAGCGCAGTGAGCAAGATGAATTTTAAGTGTATAGGAAAAGTGTCTTTTTTTTAAACCATTTCTTGTTGGTTTTTTGACTTGAACTTCACATGGTGAACCATTGCCTCAGATCAAGTTTCTATCAACATGTTCAGTCGGTATGTATAAATGCTATTTAAAATGAGATATCCTGTGCATGGGAGAGAATGTTGTATTGAAAAACATTAACTGAATTGTAATAATGCAGATGAAGGGGGCAAAAATAAAAGCTGTGTCCCAACTCGGACTACTTGCTTGTTTCCTTAAAACTTAAAAATGTGTATGTTTGATTGGTGGCTAGACCCGACTTCATAGTTTGGTGAGGCTGCACAAACTTAGATCTGGGGAGAGATTTGGTTGTTGCAATATCAAGCACAGTAACACATCACTGTTGGGTCCCCAAACCCTGGAATTTAGTGTCTTCTTCCTAATTTCTAATTTAAATCTCCCCTCTTCCAGTTTGAAGCCATTACCCCTTGTCCTATCACTACAAGCTCTTGTAAAAAATCTCTCCCCAGCTTTCTTGTAGGCCCTCTTCAGATACTGGAAGGCCACAGTGAGGAGCCTTCTCTTCTCCAGGCTGAACAACCCCAGCTCCCCCAGCCTGGGTTCACAGCAGAGGGGTTCTGGCCCTCAGATCATAGAATCATAGGATCATTTAG